TAAAACTGAAAATATGAAATACAATTTTTAGCTAATATCATGAATAAAACATCCGGACACGGCCCCATCATCTTAAACTCATTTATCAAATAGCAAAGGTAAGCACAACAAGAGTAGATGCAAGCAAACAGCAATTAAAGGAGTAAAATTGTAAGAAAATTGGGTTTTTCATGTTAATGAACTTACTTGTAACCAGCAAAAGAATGGAAATCGTATTTGTGTCCTGCTAACAAGACGCCGCCGTTGATAATTGGCATCTTTATTCACTCAATCTAATCTTTGCAACAACAGAACAGCTTTGCTCTTATTATTTGGCAATTGCAGTCTGAAATTTTCTCAGCCACTGAAGGAGTTCTGCGTCCTATTGCCATTGATCTCGAGTTTCTATCCCCTGCGCCGCACTGTTGTTTAATTGATCACGGCCGTCAAGTTTGCATCAAGTTTGAACTGGACGATGTGGCGAGGATATGTCCGTCTGTCCTGGGCTTTAACGTTGGGGTGGGTAGACCGGACCGAACCGGAATTCAGATCTATTCCATTTTAACGAATTGGTCCGGACCAGGTGTCCTTAAAAGGCCAAAACGCCATAAAACTAAAAAGACCTAGCAGAGCCGACCATATAAAACAAACTGAAGTCGTTGCAAAGTTATGGCACGGGCCTCAAAACACAAAAAATATTCATAAGGGCCAAATGTCATATGTACCACCCGATCGAACAATATCTAAATAAAAAAGGGACTGAAGACTGGATATCAAGTTATCCGACCAAGTCCACATAACATAGAAAAACAATCACAAGAATCATTTTTCGAGTTGTTCCAATATGATGAAGACGAGCTCGCGATAGATTTCTTGGAAAAATACGATCGAATCATGGCATTAAAATAGTTATTTATTCGCAAAATTATTATTTTTATTATTCCTTATTTATCTCTTTTATTGTTAGGATAATATCTATCTTTTTGGAATAAAACTTGGCTAGCAAGTTAGGAACTATCAGTTTTGGTGAAATAAGAAAGTTATATCTTTTTTAGTTCTCGTGTGAGAGTTCTCTTTTATTCCCTTTCGTCATTCATGTTCTACATCAGTTGGTATCAGCAGACTGGGACGATTCAAGATGCCGCCACGAAGGAACGACAACGAACAATGGGATGCTCGTCTGACGATTTGGATCGGCGTACCGAGGGCCTCGGTGCCCAAATTGAACAAGTAGACCGTCGAGTTGAGGGTCATTCTGCGGGAATCGAGGAAATCAAACTGGCGATTCGTACCATGATGTACGGGAAGAGACGGACCTCAACGTCACCAGTCGGGGCGTTCGCGGTGGATTACGCGGTGGTCATGGCGGAAGTTGGTCGATCCAGGCGCCCCGAACGCACTCGCCACGTTCACAGCACGGCTTGGACGACGACGAGGAGACCATATCTATGGTCAACCTGTTCGGCGATGGTCAGTATCAGCGAGCCGCTGATGAAGGCTGGGACGCATATGATGGCCGTGGCGGGCGACGTGCAGAACACTTCATGGCGGACGACGATCAGTTGCAGCGTCCTAGGGTTTTCCGGCAACGACGACCAGGGATCCACGACGATCTATTCCTGCGGTAGGATCGGGATCCTGGCGCGACAGACGTGGCTTTGTCAGTGGCGACAACCAAGACCACGACAGGGGGGCTTCACCGCGCAGGCTGGGGTGACGCAGAGGGGGATAGGCTGCAGCATAGCGATGGGCTGGGATTGGATTCGGGCGAGCAGCAGCGGCGTGCCTAGGATGTGTACGAGGGCTTAAAGCTCACCGACGGGGAGCAGCAACGGCGGGCTTTTGGTCGCTCACATGATGGGGGCGGCTCGTCACAATGGTTGCAAGGGTTTTGGGTCAACATTCCTGAGTTTTTGGGCGGGCTTGATGCGGAAAATTTTCAAGATTGGTGGGTCGCCGTTGATTCCGTACTCAAGTTTAAAGGTGTCCCGGATGATCAACATGTCGCGCTCGTAGAATCAAGACTTTGCGGGCAAGCGGCCGCTTAGTGGTTACAACTCAAAAGTACGCGACATCGACTAGGCAAACCAAAAATCTCAACTTGGATTAAGCTTCGTAAGCACGTTCTTACTATTCAATTATTTCAATTATGTTTATCAAAAAATCTAGAACTTAAAGGCAAGGGGCTCGTTCCGTTAATGAAAATAGGGAAGAATTTTACCGCCTCTTAACTCGTGTGGAGGTTCGTGAGACGACAGCCCAATTGGTTTCGAGGCATGTGGGCGGTTTACAGGTGGCTTTCCAAGATATGCTCAATATGTTTGTCCTCGAGTCGGTTTCGGCTGCAAATCAATGTGCATTGTTGCTCGAACAACAACAAGCCAGAAAGGTGGGTGCATTGACTACGCCGTCTACTAAGGAGCTCCCGGGGACCGTGGTTTCAGCACCGTCTGGATCACTTGGTCAGCTGGGTTTTGGAAGGTCCTACGGTTAGGGGCAGTAGTCAACAGTCTGGTGCGCCACGTTTCTTCTCTTGCGGCAAACCGGGGCATCGGCAGACTCAGTGTCCGAAATCAAAGGGGTCACATGCTTTAATTGTTGAGGAGATGGAGTCTGCAGAGTATGATGGCCTTCTTATTTTCGATAAGGAGTCGAATGTTCCCGTGGTGCATGTCTCGGGAGACGTGGGTCACGCACTTGTCCTTCGTTGATCCCTATTGTCACCTCCCATTTCTTCCGACGATGAGCATCCACAGGGACACCTTTTTGAGTCTACATGCACTATTGGCGGACAGGAGTGCCGTTTTGTGATTGATTCTGGCTCATTTGAAAATGTTGTCTCGGTTGAAGTTGTTCAGAAGCTGGGGTTAGGGAGTAAGCACATCCGGATCCATACTCCCTCGCGTGGATATAGCTTGACAATGATATCTCTATTACATGCCGTGTTTTGGTATCTTTTTCTATAGGCTCTTCGTGTAAGGATGTGTTGTGGTGTGACATTGTGCCTATGGATACATGGCACTTTTTGTTGGGCGTCCTTGGCAGTTTGATTGAGTTGTGGTGCATGATGGGCGTCTTAACACATATGAGTTTACATTTGATGGTGTCCACTTAGTTTTGCATCCTGCAGCTTCCCATTCGATGTCGGTGTCCCCACCGATGGTCTTATTTCTTTTCCATAGCGGGGCATGTGACATTGTTTATGGTTAATTGGCCGATCATTCGGTGGTGTTTGATGTGGGCGATTTTGCTTGGGTTGATTCCCTGACGGACGGACGAGTAGGTCCTTACGAGATTATCGATCGAGTCCTTCCGGTTGTTTACCGTCTTCGCTTGCCCTCTCATATGCGTTTGTCGGACATTGTCATGTGGCTCAATTGGCTCATTTCCTTGTCGACGACTCAGATAAAGACGAGCTCGTTGTGGATTCCAGGGCGATTATAGCGCCCTGTTCGAATATTGGATTTTTACGGATTATTGAATTATAGTATTTATTTTATTTGGTGTATTTTCGGTAATTGCTCGACATTTTTCTGTCTAGATTTATTATTACTTGATTAGATGTAGTCTAATTAATATAATAAGTTGTGTAATTTTATTTATTTTTCGTCGTCAATCGAATCGGTCGGGAATTCTTATTGTCACGTCGTATTTCTTTCAGCCCGATTTATCGGGATATATTTCAGCTCGATTATATTAATTCCGACCCAATTTATGTGAAACTTTCCAGTCCCATTTGTGGTTTAATATTTTTGACCCAACCTAATTGTTTTAATATGGCCCAATTGATTCAGGCCCAATTGAGAAATATTAGTATGGGTCATACTTTCACGTGCGAAAATGAAACGGATATTTTCCCTTCTTCCAGCGACAGAGTCTTCTCTTTCAAATGTTTGGTTGCGATTCTTTAGCAAATATCCTCATATCATGTTCGGTTTTCCTTCATAAATCTCGCCTGAAGGAGTGTAACGCCCAGATTTTTTTATTTACTATTTATGGAGCTCGACTATATTTCCATAAATATTAAGTTTCTAAATTTGATGCATTATTTAAATTTATTTGCATTAAATTAAATAATTAGTATCAAAGTCTAAGCCATGAATAATTCTTCCGACTTTAATTATTAAAGTTGGAATTTTATTTAAGAGATCCGAAGTCAGATAATTTAATTATATCGAGCCCAAGTCCAATTTTATTCCAGTCCATTTTTAAAATCAAGCAAACAGTCAATTTTAATTCCAGGCCCATTATTAGTAATTATTTCGACTGACTAATTTAATTAGTCCTAGTTCGATTAATATTATTTAGCAAGCCCGAGCATTTAATTTCCTAAGTTCATATTCGATTTATATTCGAGCCCAACTCGTAGGATTTTAAAGGCCCGGTTTTGAGCCCATTAAGGGAGAAAACCTTAAACTCCCTTACACCTTCTATAAATAGGTTGTCTCCTATTTCCCAACATCTAAACCCTAGCCTACATTTTACTATTCATCATCTCCTACCTCTTCTCTTTGAAGATCCAAGCACCATTTTCAAGATCTAGCCTAAAAAAAATTAAAGAAAACATTATCATCTTCAACATATATCCTACCATATCAAGAACAAAGCTTGTCCATGGCTTGAGCTTCGAAAATCCAGCCACCACTCCCGGTTTTCCGGCGAAATTTCGGCAAAACCCGCATCCCCTCCTCAGCCCTAGTTCAGCCCGTCACCACAGTCCAAGCCTAGTCGGTTCGCAGCCCTCCACAGTCAAGCTCGCGCGTATCACTTCGGACCCAACCCTTCAAGCCACTATTCGTCCAGCCCGAGCTCGCAGCTCCTCCGCCGCCTTCCTAGGTCACACACGCCGACGACCTGCAACTCCCTCACGGCGAGCCCGAAGCCCGACGAACCACTCTTTTACGAGCAGCTCCTTCGCGCGACTCCCGACCAAAGCTCCGCCCGCGACCGACGCAAGCCCCAGCAACTTCCGGCGACATTAGCTTCAACAATCCCGTCGTGGTTCCAGCTCACCACCGTGACCAGCTCCTCCACAGCGCCTCCACGCGCGCCTCAGAGCTTGGACACACGACCCCTGCTCAACCGCGACCACCACCACACCAGGCCCGCAGCTCGCCACCAGCTTCATTTTTCCGGCGATTTCAGCACCTGCTCGCGACCAGCTCCTCAGATCCAAGCTCCACACCTGCAAATCGCGACCTAGCAGCTCAAACCAGACCCAGCAACTGTTTTCAGCAGCCTTGAAGCTTTAAATCCGGTCTGATTTGTTTCTTTGACT